TTTTTTTTTCCTCTTTTAAAACTTCTGGCCGTCAAAAAGGCATATCTTTTTGCAACCTCTTCACTCCTTGCATATACATTTGAATAAAGGACATGGTTGAGTTGTGAATGGAAGGTGAGTTCATTTATAATGCTCTTGCGAAAAACAGAAAAATTCGCAGAGATTTTTGCACACCTTTGTTAAATTTCACGTCGAAGATATCTGTTTGTTGAATATCCGGAAAAATGGTCAAGGGTGTTTTCCTGAAAGGAGAATTTACCCTTTCTACAATTCAAAATATTCATTTGAATAATGGTGTAAGAGATTAGACTAAGTATCATGCGCTAGATGTATCTGGATGCAGTCTGTGTTTCATCCCTTAGCTGTAAACACAAACTGAACACAGCAAGCGGATAAGACTGGGAATCACCATTGTAGTTTCCTACCAACCATATATATGCAGAGCTTGTGTCAAGTAGCATTATGAAGTGGCGAAATAACCATTGGTCAGATAGGCTGACGCATTCATACGTTTGCGTTTTATTTAGAAGAGAAAAAAGTTTTGTTACAGTATGTGAGAAAGTCTTGCGCGATGTGATGGCTGAGATGCCCGAAAGCGATCGCGCTAACACCAAGAAAATAGACGAGGCGGTGAGGGAGCACTGCGGAGGAACAAAGGGAAAAGAAAACAAGTTGGTTGGTCCTCTTTATTTTTTCACAGATTTAGTTTTCATTGCTCTCCTAGCCAACTTGCTGTAATGCTACTTAGTATCTGATCTGTGGCTGGAACTATTGGCTCGAACTCAGTAATGAGGAAAACAGCTGTTTCAGATTGGTGATTTATTTTAATCGAAATTTGCTTTTTAAGATTGGTAATGTTAATGTTAATATTGCAAAAAAAAAAAAAATGTTGTTACGTCCCAATTAACTATTTTTGTTGTTATTGGCGGAAGGCAACGTATCTCCACCTTGTTCTTACACAACTCTAAAAAGAATGATCCTTTAACATTCTTGGCAGCGAATCCGTGCTGTTGTCAAAGCGCTATCATTCGTCTTATTTTGGTGGAATCCGCCTTTCAAAGAGTAATTTTACGGTTTTCATTTTTTGAAGGGCGGTTGTCAAAAATTCACTTAATTTTACTTTTGAGCTATATAGAGCAGCTTTCAT